TAGGATTGTTCCTTTGATCATTTCCCCCCTTTTAGAGAAGAGATGACTAAGTCTATAAAATCATGAATGTTGTGGAGAAAGGGAACAGGAAATATGTTATTTGAAGGGATACATAACAAAGAACCAGGGCCATCCGATGAACTTAATAGGCATCAAGTTTAAAACAAACAAAAGGAAGTACCTCTCACAACACAGTCAACCTATGGAACTCATTGCCTGGGGATGTTGTGAAGGCCAAAAGTATAACTGCTTTCAAAAAAGAATTAAATAAGTTTAGGGAGGATAGGTGTATCTGACTATTAGCCAAGATGGTTAGGGACACAATCCCATGCTCCAGGTGTCCCTAAACCTCTGATTGCCAGAAGCTAAGATTGGATGACCAGGATAGATCACTCAAAATTGCCCTGTTCTGTTCATTCCTTCCAAAGCATCTGGCACTGTCCACTATCAGAGGACTGGATACTTGGCTAGATGGACCGTTGGTCTGACTCAATAGGGCCTGTCTTATATTTTTATGATGGTAATTTCTTTGTTCAAAGTTACTGTGGGCTGGATGTGGATTAATGGATGATTCTTTAGTTCCTTCTCATTCAGTCCTACATAATCTTGTCTAAATTATATAAATATATATTAGTCATAGTTACTTATACTATTTCAAAGTCACATTGCTTCAGTCATTTAAAGACTAAGACTATTATATATTAAAAAAAAAAAAATACTGTAGAGCATAATCCTGCAGCTGCCAAGAGAGAATGGCTAGGTGACCTCACAGGTAATTTTGTTTCCATCTCATTTTTATCCTGAGAGAAAGTGCTAAAGAATGTCCTATCATCATGACCAATTTCATGATTTATGTACTACAGCCATAATTAATACTTTTTTCTTTTTTTGGTATGTGATCAAATAGGAGTGTTTGATTACTGAATGCAAATACAATGGATTTATCTTATAACAGCATATTGCAGTTGAAAGTTAAGTAATTGAAGATGAAAATACTAAACTGTACTGCAAACAAAAAGGTGTTAGAAATGAAAAAACAATTGATCAGAAGTGTTGTCTGTGTGTTAGGATTGTTTCAGCAGAAGCACACTACTCTCATTTGCTATAGAACAGCATGTGGATTCCCCCTACTGGTACACTGAGGGGAACCGCTGAGGAAAGAGGGACCAAAGAGATGAGTGAGCACAGCCAACTCCCATTACTTACTGTGAACAGACAACACTCAGAACCGCACAGGAGCACTCTGCATCTCACAGGATTTGGTCCTTTCTCAATGGGTCATTACTTTGTCCTTCTGGCTCCCTGCTTCTCCTTCCCCATTTACTTGACTGCTTCAATTGAATGTTCTAATTGGCTACCATTGCTCTGCAAAACCCCAAACTGCTAATTGGTGGCTTTCACTGCCTTCCCCATGGAAACTGTCCACCACCCACACAATCTCTTGTCCTCTATCTTAATCTAAACATATGTTCACCAGATCACTATGATATCCCCGAAAGGATCAGGCACTGAACATGTAAATAAAATGGCCTGCTTTGGGAGATTTCAGCAGGGCCGCCTGGGGGGGCAAGTGGGGCAATTTGCCCCAGGCCCTGGGCCCCACAGGGGCCCCCACGAGAATATAGTATTCTACAGTATTGCAACTTTTTTTTATGTAAGGGGCCCCCAAAATTGCTTTGCCCCAGGCCCCCTGAATCCTCTGGGCAGCCCTGAATTTCAGGTGAGTGCAACACATACCTACACACACAATTCTCTTTCTAGATGAACCTAACTGTGCACAATAGGCAGACCCAGTCATTCCATGTTTGTTAAAATATTACACTCTGCCTCAAAGTTCAATACCTGTGTGTCTCTTACAATGGATTTGTATAGTTTTTAGAATAATGGAGCCCCAAACTCAGGTTTAGACTTCTGTTTTCTCATAGTGCAATGTGTTAATGGAGGTTTTTATAAAAAAAACCAACCAAACAAACAAACAAAAAAACCCACAACAACTCTGTGCCATTATGAAATGTGTAATCATTTCCCCCCATCTAGTGCTGTGGTACACTGACCTATTTTTTCTGACAAGGTACTTACTTGTATGCCAGATGTACTGTGAGTGACTGAGAGGCAAGAATTAAGGCACATCTCTATAGGCTTTTCCATCTGAAGGGGCCCAGTAAACACTCTCCCCCACCCCCACTACCTCAGATCTTCCAGATACTACAGCCTGGATCCACAAAGGGACTTAAGTGTTGATGCTCAGCATCTCAACAACTAACTTTTAGGCCCCTAGAGAAACACTGAGGTCTATCACACTCATGTTAGGTGCCTAGGGTCCCTATGCAATGAATGGAGAGAAAAAGAAAGGTACATGAGGCCAATTCATTAATATTTGTGAAAGCATCTGGAGATGCTCTAGAAGTGCAAATAATTAGAATTAATTTCTTAAGAGTTAAATGGAACTCAGAAGAGGAAAAGTGAATTCAATTGCCTCACTAGCATTTAGGTTAGGGTGGCTGGGAATAATGTGGTGGGCTTCTGAGCCAAATAAGAAGGCAGAGTGTGGTCAGAATGTTAAATGTAACAGAGGAAAAAAGGGAGAACAAAATTATACGCAAAACAGATAGGAATTTTTTTGTTATACTAATTAATAACCTATAAGAGAGGCCACTGAAATGGCCAGCAAGAGAGGGGGATGTTGGTTAGTTCTGAATCTAGGGCTAGCCAACTACAGCTATGCCAGCTCCAAACCCATTCAACCCATATAGTGCAAGATTACTTGAAAGAAGTGAAAGACATTCACATGTGAGCAGCACATGGGTGGTACTGCTTTTCAAGGCAAGAAAAGAGGTGTTTTTTATCTGAGAACAATGACAGGGGACAGCATCAACTCTGCAGGGCCCTCTTCAGGAAATACAAGGTAAAGGTAGATTATTGGGCCAGATCTGTGTCCCATTCAAGACCGGTATCAGATGATCAGCAGGAAAAATACTTGAGGGGCAGCTACAACCGCCTGTGTTGATCGAACATGAGGAAAGCAGCTTCCCTCAATACTGTGGCCAGCCCTACCAATGAGCCCCACATTTTGTCTCCTGCCATGGACAGACTAGTTGCAGGCTCTGGAGATCTGTGATGGACTGAAGGCATGTCAGCGTAGGTCCCATTTCCTCAGTCAGTGAAACCCAGCACTGGTTCCTCCCCGGTGAGGCCTTCCACTTGCTCTAGAGAGACAGGGCTGGTCTTAGGGAAAATGGTAACCTAGGTGAACTTGTATTTTGGTGCCCTTGGCCCCCATGGGTTCCCCCCCAAAGGCCCCCTGCCTCCCACCAGTGCTTCATTTGTATTGAAAGGTGCCGGGGCTCAGCCACAGCAATATACAAATGGCACAAATTAAGCACTGGCTGGGCGGCTGGAGAGTGGTGGCTGCTGGCTGGGCACCTAGCTCTGAAGGCAGTGCTGTTGCCAGCAGCAGCAGAGAAGGGTGGCATGATATATGGTATATTGCCACCCTTTGTGCTGCACTGTGTCCCCTTCACTCCTAATCCCTGCTCCCCCTCCTGTGCCCCTAACCTTTACACTCCCCTCCTGTGCCCACATGGGAAAATTGACCTGGATGCACAAAGTGGCTGGCACTGCCACTTGCTCCCCCCCTTGAACACTGCTCCTTCACGTCCCCCTAGGGGACTGTGAGGGGGGAGAGAAGAGCAATGTCAGGGCTCCCTTCATCCAGGAGCGCTGCCAGCTTTTCTGCAGCCCTAGGCAGCGGAAGGTCCCACCCTGAAAGGCCGTCCCCCACAGAGGCAGCGGAAGGTCCCGCTGCTGAAATACTGCCTCGGTCGCCGCCCCCCAAATTGTAGCGCCCTAGGCGACCGCCGGCCCTGCCTTCATCCATGTCACTTTCCCCAACTAGGCTGCATAAGGGAAGAGTAGAGAGCAGCAGCTCCTGATGCTCGCCTCACAGCACAGCCACAGACCTCTTGGTAGTTCCTCGCTTCCCCTGCGCCCCCCAGTCCTCCTGGTGGGGAGGGACACAGAGGAATGTTGTGTGTGTGTGAGCAGTATCTGTCCATCACCACTTGCAACCCCCCCCCCCCCCATGTTCCTCCGTGGGGAAGCAGCAGGGAGAAATCTGGCCCCTCCTCCCCCCATGCATTGCCTCTGCAAGTTTGTGGCGTTCCTCTGCCAGCCAGCAGCGTGCAGCTCTGCACTCCTGCATGGCACCCCCCTGACCATGGCGCCCTGGTTGGTCACTTAGGTGGCCCATCAATAAGGCCAGCCCTGTAGACAGATAACACATAGGTAAGATTGATAACATCACATGTCCCCTCACTCTCATGTGACTCAACCGCCCCACCCCCCAGGCACGGGCACTTGCATGTTGGTGGGCAGGCAGCTGTTGTATTTTCAACAGTTTTGATCTATTATCACTTCAACTGCGGAAGTGGGAATAGCTGGAGACACAGACACTTTTAACATTAGATATCCCAGTATATTGTGATAATAATGCAAATCTTTAACCCTAGGTTAAAAATCAACAACAACCCAGCAGATTATTTTTCTGGCAAATCCATAAAAAACAGCCACGCTGGTCAAATACCAGCCAGGTGGTAACCCTACCACTAGGTACAGGTACCACAGCGCAGGGATGCCTCACTCCCTGCACCCTAGCCCTCGGGGGCTTTCTGTCAGGGCAGTGGGGGACGTGGACAGGGACACCAGCCCCGTGCTAGCTGCCTGGGGCGCAGGGAGACCAGGCCCTCCCCGTCATCCTTGGGGCCGGGAAGAGTCCAGACCTCCCCCTCAGGCAGGGGCAGCCTTGCGGCGGGCTGGGGCTCTCCTCGCCCTCTGCCCCCATTGCCAGCCCGCCGCAGGGCGGGGCTTTTCTCACTGCCAGGCCCCTGGAGGGAGGCAGGTGACAGCATGGGGGGGAGCGGGTCTCTGCCCTCACTAAAGATGGCTCCGGCGGCTACCGGTGCCGGACCACGTGGGGGCTGAAAGGGGTTGCGGCGCGGGACATGGAGCCAGGGAGGCTGGAGAAGTTCCCCAGCCCGGGCAGGGGCAGCGGCCTCCGCGCTCTGAAGCGGGCGCGGCCCGGCGAGCTGCTGTACCGGGCCGAACCCTTCGCCTGCACCGTCACCAAGCAGCGACTGGGCGGCGTGTGTGAGCGCTGCCTGCGCAGGTACCGAGCGGGGCCGGGTCCTCCGGCAGCCCCCAGCCGCCCTTCCCGCCTGCACGCGTCCCCGCCCGCTGCCCCTCCCCGCGCTGGGAGGGCTTCCCCGCAAACACACCCACCCGCCCCTGCCCGAGCCGCGTCTGGCGGAGCCTGCCCTGCGCTCAGCCCTGCGTGGGGCCAGCCCGGGGCGCCCACGCCACGCGTTACAGACCCATAGACCACCGCGAAGCCCGGCTCCAGTCCTGCGCAGCCCTCACGGCCACGGGCCACGTGTGTGGCACAGGACCCCCCTTCGCGCCCCACTGCGCGGCACCCTGGCTACAGGGCGGGCTGCAGCTCAGAGCCCTGCTCCCCGCCGGTACGCGCCTGTAGCCAGGGTTTTGGACATTAGGAGTTTGTATCTAGCGCCGGGCGGGCTCGGCAGAGCAAGCGGGGCCGGCAGGTAAGGGCACTGCCGTGCTGAGTTGTGCTGTTGACCAGTCATAACGCAAGAAGGGACGGCATGGCAGTGACACAGGGTGAGAGGAAGAGCAGCGGTAAGGGGAGGATGAGATTTATGTCTAGGCTTAGCAGAAATGGATTGTTTTTTAAAATAATTTTTATCAGAGATCGATGTTTATTTTTAAGCAGTTCCCCCTGATTTTTATCAATTTAAATGATCACAGATATGGAAAATTAGGGAGGGGACAAACAATAGGGAGTGTCTGACAGTAATTACTTAATAACAGTAAACATTCAGATTCAAAAAGTTAAATATTTATTACTGTTGAAGCACAAATTGTCAACATCATGTGTCAAAATATACAAATTAAATATTAAATCAACGATTTGCCTATTTGTAAACATCAGTTATGGATGGAAATATTTTTTCATTGGTTTGTGTGTGTACGTTAAGAACATAAGAACGGCCCTACTGGGTCAGACCAAAGATCCATCTAGATCAGTATCCTGTCTTTCGACAGTGGCCAGTGCCAGGTGCCCCAGAGGGAATGAATAGAACAGGTAATCATCAAGTGATCCATCCCCTGTTGCTCATTCCCAGCTTCCTGCAAACAGAGGCTAGGGACACCATTCCTGCCCATCCTGGCTAATAGCCATTGATGGACCTATCCTCCATGAATTTATCTAGGTTTTTAACCCTGTTATGGTCTTGGCCTTCACAACATCCTCTGGCAAGGAGTTCCACGGGTTGACTGTGCGTTGTGTAAAGAAATACTTCCTTTTATTTGTTTTAAACCTGCTGCCTATTAATTTCATTTGGTGACCCCTAGTTCTTGTGTTATGAGAAGTAGTAAAAAACACTTCCTTATCTACTTTCTCTACACCAGTCATGATTTTATAGACCTCAATCATATCTCCCCTTAGCCGTCTCTTTTCCAAGCTGAAAAGTTCCAGTCTTATTAATCTCTTCTCATACGGAAGCCGTTCCATACCCCTAGTCATTTTTGTTGTCCTTTTCTGAACCTTTTCCAATTCCAATATATCTTTTTTGAGATGGGGTGACCACGTCTGCACACAGTATTCAAGAGGTGGGCATGCCATGGATTTATACAGAGGCAACACGATATTTTCTGTCCTATTATCTATCCCTTTCTTAATTATTCCCAGCATTCTGTTAGCTTTTTTGACTGCCGCTGCACATTGAGTGGATGCTTTCAGGGAACTATCCACAATGACTCCAAGGTCTCTTTCTTGAGTGGTAATGGCTAATTTAGACCCCATCATATTATATGTATAGTTGGGATTATGTTTTCCAATGTGCATTACTTTAACTTTCATCTGCCATTTTGTTGCCCCGTCACCCAGTTTTGAGAGATCCTTTTGTAGCTCTTCGCAGTCTGCCTGGGTCTTAACTATGTATCATCTGCAAATTTTGCCAGCTCACTGTTTACCCCTTTTTCCAGATCATTTATGAAATGTTGAATAGGACTGGTCCCAGAACAGACCCCCGGGGGACACCACCATTTACCTCTCTCCATTCTGAAAACTGACCATTTATACCTACCCCTTGTTTCCTATCTTTTAACCAGTTACCAATCCATGAGAGCACCTTCCCTCTTATCCCGGGCAACTTACCTTGTGTAAGAGCCTTTGATGAGTGACCTTGTCAAAGGCTTTCTGAAAATCTAAGTACACTAAATCCACTGGATCCTTTTGGATCACATGTTTGTTGATCCCCCTCAAAGAATTCTAGTCGATTGGTGAGGCATGATTTCCCTTTACTAAAACCAAATTATGTTCACCTATATGTCTGACAATATTGTTCTTTATTATAGTTTCAACCAGTTTGCCCAGTACTGAAGTCAGGCTTACAGGCCTGTAATTGCCAGGATCACCTCTGGAGCCCTTTTTAAAAATTGGTGTCACATTAGCTATCCTCCAGTCATCTGGTACAGAAGCTGGTGACTTATTGCTGTTTAATTTATCAATTTGTTCCAAAACCTCCTCTAATGATACCTCAATCTGGGACAGTTCCTCAGATCTGTCACCTAAAAAGGATGGCTCAGGTTTGGGAATCTCCCTCACATCCTCAGCCGTGAAGACCGATGCAAAGAATTCATTTAGTTTCTCCGCAATGGCCTTATCGTCCTTGAGTGCTCCTTTAGCACCTCAATCGTCCAGTGATCCCACTGGTTGTTTAGCAGGCTTCCTGCTTCTGATGTACTTAAAAAAATTTGCTATTACATTGAAATCAATGTTTATTGACATTTACTAACAAAAATTTAATACTGGCAAGCCAATTTATAACCATATCTCTCAAATGTCCCTCATTTCAACCTCTGTGTGTCTATGATCCATACAGATTACATGTCCCCTCACTTTTATTGTGAAATTATTTACATCAAAAGTAGAATCCTTGACTTATTCCTTGACTTTAGCAAAGCTTTTGATATGGTCTCCCACAGTATTCTTGCCAGCAAGTTAAAGAAGTATGGGCTGGATGAATGGACTATAAGGTGGACAGAAAGCTGGCTAGATCGTCGGGCTCAATGGGTAGTGATCAATGGCTCCATGTCTAGTTCGGAGCCGGTATCAAGCGGAGTGCCCCAAGGGTTGGTCCTGGGGCCGGTTTTGTTCGATATCTTTATTAATGAGCCGGAGGATGGTGTGGCCTGCACCCTCAGCAAGTTTGCAGATGACACTAAACTGGGAGGAGTGGTAGATACACTGGAGGGTAGGGATAGGATACAGAGGGACCTAGACAAATTAGAGGATTGGGCCAAAAGAAATCTGATGAGGTTCAACAAGGACAAGTGCAGAGTCCTGCACTTAAGACGGAAGAATCCCATGCACTGCTACAGACTAGGGACCGAATGGCTAGGCAGCAGTTCTGCAGAAAATGATGTAGGGGTTACAGTGGATGAGAAGCTGGATATGAGTCAACAGTGTGCCCTGTTGCCAAGAAGGCTAACGACATTTTGGGCTGTATAAGTAGGGGCATTGCAAACAGATTGAGGGACATGATCATTCCCCTGTATTTGACATTGGTGAGGCCTCATCTGGAGTACTGTGTCCAGTTTTGGGCCCCACACTACAAGAAGGATGTGGAAAAATTGGAAAGAGTCCAGTGGAGGGCAACAAAAATGATTAGGGGGCTGGAGCACATGACTTATGAGGAGAGGCTGAGGGAACTGGGATTGTTTAGTCTGCAGAAGAGAAGAATGGGGGGGATTTGATAGCTGCTTTCAACTACCTCTTTGGAACCCCCTTTCAGGATGGATCTAGGCTGTTCTCAGTGGTAGCAGATGACAGAACAAGGAGTAATGGTCTCAAGTTGTAGTGGGGGAGGTTTAGGTTGGATATTAGGAAAAACTTTTTCACTAGGAGGGTGGTGAAGCACTGGAATGGGTTACCTAGGGAGGTGGTGGAATCTCCTTCCTTAGGGGTTTTTAAGGTCAGGCTTGACAAAGCCCTGGCTGGGATGATTTAGTTGGGGATTGGCCCTGGTTTGAGCAGGGGGTTGGACTGGAATACCTCCTTCCAACCCTGATATTCTATGATTATAAGAATCATGAAAATGAGATTATAGAAAGAGTTGTATACACTAAGGTGTAACTTTTAATACATTAATGCATTATTTTGTGTCTGATTTTGAGTATGTGTCATAAATTGTGCCTCAAATTTGGACCTTGACAGGTTGAGAACTGAGAAGTATGATTACATTAGCAATCAGTTATGATATGTTTCTAACATACACATCTTGTCAGTTCCTTTCTTCTTTTAATAATGAAGTTTTTGTTGATCATACGCACTTGCGTACACTCCTAATTGCTTTAAACCCCCTCCCCACCAACTTTCTGCATTTTGATTATAGTAATCAGTTAGGAAAGCAAACAAACAACCTGGAAATTTACTTATACTGATTATTTTAAGAGTAAGCCTTCCCCTCATTTTTATGAATTAATTTAATGCTGTACTCATGTTTCCATCTGTTCCTTGTCAATTTTAGTCTGGAGAGCCTGGGAGACTAATGGACAAGATTAGTGTTGCTGGATTCAATGGCAAGTGAAAATCCTGGTTCATAAACTGCTCCAAAGTGGAGGATTTTCTAGCTGGAGTTGATGGCTTGAGAAACAGGTTATCAGTAAATGAGATATTTTAAAAGATGTGGGTATTAGTCCACTCTTGGATAGACTGGATGTTTCCTTAACTTCCATTAATCTATCAAAAGATTGTAAATCCAGGCCCAGTCTCACAAAGGTACAAAAAAAGCATGTGGCAGAGATGGAAACTGATCTCTACTCTCTGAGGTAGCTGGTGTATTTCTTATTCACTAGACCAGCAGTTACTAAACTTGAAAATCATTTAAAAAAATTGTTGTGAAGTGAATTGGTGGAGCATCAAGCTCACATACCACAGTTTAGGGACCCTGGCACTAGACCACTGGCACCTTTAATGCAGATTGTTTCAAGTCTCTGTACCTAGGGAAATATAGAATTTGGACGAATAGGTCTAAATTTTCAAAAGTGCCTAGTGATTTTGGGTGCCCAAGTAGACACGTATTA